AGCAATGGCCTCCAACCTAATAGCGATGGCCTCCAACCAAATACTTGATGGCCTCCAATCATTCAATAAACAGCGAACAGCGTTGAAGCATGGCACCTTGCACGTCCCAGCCACGCGGTCTTCTCGGAGTGGGTGGTGACAACTGTCGAAGCATGCCCTATTCAACAGGGATTCGACGGGCCGTCTTTCAGCTCGTTACATGCTGAGCAGCAACCGGCTTGCTTCAATTTAAACCACTTTTTCTCTGCTCGACTCTTCGTGTGACGGCGCAAACAGCATACACAGGATAGCGCATGCCTTGACTTGCATCAACCTCGAGGAGAGCACTTGGATCCGTAGAAATTTGCAAATGCCAACTACTTGCAAACACTGGAAGTGCTGGTGCAACAGATTGCAATTGTTGACCACAGGACTAGCGTGAGGCATGCTGCTTGTCTTTGTGAGAAGCTTTGGAGCTCTGGGTTGACTCAAAGCACATGCACGATGTCATTATGGTCCCAATGGTTGGTATGGCTCGCTCGGTTCTTTTGCTCTTCGCTTTGCTTTGTTCTTTCCATCACAAAGCCAGAGTACCTGAAAGCTGGACTGTTTTCCATGTCGTGAATTCTGTCCCTCCATTTGCTATAGGTCAAGAAGAGGAACAAGCTGGGCACAGTCTGAAGAGGGTCTCCTCATCAGGGTCTAAATAAGCATTCTCCCTGTCCTCAGGGTATCAAAAAGCAGCCTTGAAGATATTGATATCTGTGACATAAATCCGCAGAATCGGTAAAAAAGCTGCTGTTTTGCTCAGTGTCTTTGGAGAAAACGCCGTTGTAAAATCGAGACCTTGCAGTACAGCATCCACAAGTGCCACACGCACCATGTGTCTTTTTGATCTGCTTGCTCCGGTTTGGGTATATAAGTATGTCAATGAATAATAGCACACCGTTTCATTGACAAAAACTACGACTAAGGCGCCTTGTCTTCAGCTCGTTGAAAAGATCTGGAAAGGATGCATCTGCGAGAACCCTGGCCGCCGAAAAAGGTGAAGACAAAATCATCACGTTGGTACTTGCTTGTGCTCTCCAAGTTTTGGAACGATACAATTCCGCCTGCAAAAGGTTTGCTGGTTAAATAAGCAATCTGATTCACTAATTCAAGGTACTGCTTCCATCTTCATGGCAAACATCTCAATGAGGTACCTATGCTTCCACTTTGCTGATCTCAAGATGCATCCAATATCTGACTCACAGTGATAGTCAAGAGAGTCTTTGCTGGAGGCTTTCCTCACTTCCTAACACATGGCATACCATGTTTGTCCAGCCTCCGCATAGTTGGAAGAAGGCATGCTAAGTCAAATTACATCAAGGGTGGCCAATTGAATACACTGACCCATTGCTCTCAAGCACTAGTGTCAAATCTTGCACTCAACAAACACCTATATAATTCGACTTATATATAAGCTATACACATCACCATACATCACCTCTATTGCAATAAAAAGCCTCCGTCACCTTTACCCACCGAATATGGCCTCAAACCAAAGGATTCTGCAAGCTCTTCAAAGGCTTCCCAAGGCAGGATATACTCCTGGAACATGTGTGCAAAGCTGCCTTGAAGCTGTAGATAATCAAAAGGACCCACTGTTGCCAACAGCACGCAAGAAGGTTAAGTTTCCGTAAAATGCTAGAAACCAAATGAATAGTGCGAGCGCTTCTTCAAGGAAGCTCCCCCGCCGCCGGTAGGGGAGAGCTTCCTTGAAGAAGCGTCACCTATCCTGCGTCCTGTCGGTAGTAGCTACTTGTTAGCTCCTAGCTACCTCTAGCTACTGCCTCCTACCTCTTCTGCCAGCCTGCCATCCAAAAAGCATGAAAATGTCATCCTCACATGAAAACGAAACTGTCCTCACCATGCACAGCTCCCTCCAGCGAGAAAAGGTATGGCAAGCCCCACTGCCGTAGGAAAACCTCCAGTGCATGTTGATCACAAACAAATTGAAAACAATGCAAACAAGACTTTGGGGATCATTCACTGGGGGCATATTCACCTACCGGTGGTTGCAGAGCCCTCTATTTAAGTGGATGCTCCACGCCTCGTCGAGCTCCAGCTGCACTCCTTCATCTTGCAGTCGCTGCCACGCTTCACCCTGAAATCGCACCTGGGATTGTGGAGGAAACCAATTGTTGTATAGGTCCAATGGATCACAGCAAAAAGCATCAAAAAAGCGTTCGTCCGCCATGCTGCTTGAAACAGTGAGTGCTGAAGCATCCGTTGGCAATTCCTGATGATGAACTGCTCTTTTCCAATCATATGGACAGTTGCTCATGACACAGCTGCCACGACACATCCATCAGATTGGCAAAACTCTCTATGAAGACACAAACAGCTTCACCATGCACATCAGTGTCCTTTCCCCTGTGAAGGAAGCCTTCTCGTAAAAGTCAGCTAGGACCTCGCAGGAAGGCACCTGGAGGACAGGACATCGCATGTCTTCCATGGAGATTCATCGCCAGCTCCAAATTATGCCACGACACACAGTGAATTAGTGGCCGACTTTGGAAAGCCAGGAAAGGAACTTGAGAGCGAGAAGAACTCCGGTGGCGACCGCCGTGCAACGAGGCAGCAACAAGGATTCAACAACACAGCGCTCATTGGCAAGAGACGTGACAACAACTATGGTGGAGTGCAAACTCTTGAATGCAGTGGCTGCAACCGGCATACTCGAGCAACTTCAGTGGATGCTCTTGCTTGAAAACCCATTCCAGCACATATCCATAAGAGGATGACCACCGATGCAAGCAATGGCGTACCCTCGAATGATTCAGCGCTGTTTTCATCGATAATGCTTGAGTGGAAACTCTGTAGGAACCACCTTTCCTTCGCTTAGCTTGTTCCAATCACTGAACTAATGCTTGTGATGCGTGTCATCTTGTTAGATCTTGTTGGGGGATGGGCCTAATCAATACCAAATCAATTCGTATCAATTCATCAAGGAAGGGGGGTCCCATTCCCTCCTTGGAGCTCGCTTTCGTGAAATACGGTGTGGAATAGTCATGAATGATATGCCATTTGAACCCTGCCCACAAGGTTACGAGCCTTGCGCTCTACCGACTCAGCTAGCCAGCTCGATATTTACACTCAAATTTGTGTTTGACAAAAGCTGCGGCACCAGGCAGAAGGGTCAGAGAGAGCCAAAGAGCGAGCGTCTCATCTATTCGGCCACGCTCTCCCTGTCCTCTCTATGGTTCACCCAACTATTCCTCGCCCTTGGCACCGTGGCAATGAATCTGCCCCCAGGGCAAAGCAGCTGCACCACATGTTGCAAGAACTGCTTGGCTGCCTCCAAGCTGAAACAGTGAAAAGCACAGGGCGAAGCACTGGCCAAACTAGACAGCTCCAAGCTGAAAGCCGATAGATCCAACATGAGAAGGACAACATAATGTGAGAAGGTCTAACACAGCAAATTTCACTAGAACTGCCTCTTCAGAGTTGAGGAGGTAGTGCAAAGCTAGCTGACAAACTACCACATCAAACCTTAAAGCACACATACACCAGATTTGCAGAGAAGCAACATCAACAAAACTTCACACTCGTCAGCAATCGTTTTTTTTTGTCTCAACTTGGTATTGCCATCAACAAGCTTATCAGACCATGATTGTTCTCCCAATCTGGCTCAAAAAAGTTCTGTTCTACAAGCAGACTTGGCCGCAAAACAGAGATATTGATACATTTGTATTGCTTCTTATTCAAAAAAATCAGTGAACCAATCCACACTCTATCACTCTATGTCACTCCATGTCTTTTTTATGTATTTTTGCATTCCACACCCATCTGTGCCACACCAAGAAGCTCGTGAAAGCCTTCCTTGGCCAGGTCCGCAAACGTCGAAGCATGCCGAAGGTCTCCCCGTCTGAAGCTCGCGATGAACTCGTGTCGACCGGCGCGCTGGGCCTTGTGGCACAGCGTGCCTCAGACACAGCGGGCCTTCAGCAGACTCAGCAAACCGATCGGCATCCAGGAACCTGGTTTCAGATATGCAAAACACAGGAGAACGCACAGGAATCGCACAGGTTTTGTTGCTGCCTTCAGAATGATTGAGCATCGAGATATTCAACTTCTGGGGGCTAGGACGTGCTGGGACTCAGGACCCGCTAGATTGAGGACAAGCACCTATATAAATAAGAACTAGATCTGCAACACTCTATTCCAAGCAGTAGTAAAGTAACTTTGGCCAAACCATTCTACATTTAAGGATGAAGTTCCACAGTCATACACTGTAGCAGGTGTGTGGACAGCAAGTCTTATTCCACGAGAAGCAACAATCTGGGAA